TCTTAAGCAGTAATCAAATTATAAACGTACTCTTAATAGTACGAGGAACTTAAATTTCCTAAATGTACTCTTAATAGTACGAGGAACTTAAGTCTCCTATATGTGCTCTTAATAGCACGAGGAACTTAAGTTTCCTAAAATGGGATTTAATGGTTTTATTAATTAAACCTTTTCCATTTAACATATCAGATATTTGGATGAGGCCATTAAAAGGCCTCAGTAAAATACCAAACATAAAAGAGTTGGTCTAGTTCTATTAATAGAGCTTTATTTACTTTCCAATTTTATTTATATCTGAATACTTCGGTAGCGAGATGGCTCAACCGAATATAGGTTTCTAGGGACTATTAAGGTTACCTAGTTGATCCTCCGATAAGCCAACCAGATGTGCCAGTCTGATGAAGGCTAAGTCGGTAATTCTTGATAGTGGTAAGTTATTGGTTAAGACAATAGCTAACAACGTCAAGAGTAATATTTTTTTTTTTAAAGATAGGATTTTATGAGTGTTTCGGATTCGCCCCAGAATAGAGCGACAACGAAACACTAAATAAAATCCCTTCGGCGGAAACAGTACTGAGAGGATTATATAAAGGCAATGTCTCAGCCTCACAATCCTGTTTTCACGAGGCAAACCTAACTTTATGAAACATCTCATTTCGTTTATTTATATCGATATTTACACGATATAGAATTTATCTACCCGTTTATTTATTCTAACGTATTAGTATCGCCTTTATTAGACATAATCTTACATATGTTGGTTTGCTGTGCCCACTTTGATCTAGTTGATATGCAGACGAATGAAAATAGTAGCAAAGGCAAACAAAGGCCCAAGCAGGGAGTAATACCCGTTTACTTTCAAGACGAAGATATTTTGTTCCATCTACCATCACAATCATCACCAGAAGGAATAGAGGAAGTAACGAGAAGAGTAGAAGAAGTGACAGGAGGCGTAGAAGTGGTGGGAGGAATTGGTAGTACAAACAAAGATGTGTACTTTGTGCCTGTAAAATCGGCGTTGAGGCAGAGGTGACAGAGGTGCCACGCGATGCAAATGGGCCGGTAGCAGAAGTGGTGGAATTACACAATACTTTACCGGAGTCCATACGAGCACATAAAGAATCACCCATAACTCGGCAGAATAGATCTAGGGATAATATTCTTTATTTCAAAGCAGTTAAGTTACAATGTTTGTACATATGGTATGACTCTCACAGCCGTTGTAGTGGTTCGGGGAAGATCGATGGGAGGAAGTGGTCAGTAAATTCCCTGTTGAAGCCTGGACCAAGTGAGTCGACGTCAATTCAGGCCGGTGCTGACAAAAAACTGCCACCATCGAGTGTGCCACATATTCGTGTTCTGACCTACTAAATAGAGTACTTACCTATGTGGTTCGGATCGGGTCTTTATCGTGTAGTGCTGTGGAATGGGTTAGTGCAGAGTACGAAATGCCAAGTAGGACCAGGTTATCTGACATAATTCGGTTGAGGAGCGAGGCTGTTTTTTGAACCGATGCCGCACCAGACCACGGATGCACTCGGTATGTGCTCGTTTGCCTGTATTGGAAGTATCACAGGCGGAACCAAAAGGCGCGATGAATTGGTTTGGACCGAAATTTGGAAGTAGAATATCAACAGCGTGATTAGCCGGGGTATAGGAAACATCTGTTGATATGTCAGCTACCATTCAGAAAAAGTTTGCTATCTCAAGTAAATAATTTGCAACCTCAAGTAAAAAGGTTGCTACCTCAAGTAAAAAGTTTGCTACCCCGAGTTTACAACACAATAATGTTTTAAATTATTAAACGAGGTAGTAGAAGTAGTACATTGCGCACTATGAACAGAAGGCATGTTCAATCTATCGACCATTCGAAGCTAATGTTTTCATGATAGTTTGGGTTGAAGAACGAGGAAGCTCGTCATAGCATTTAACAGAAGTTTAAAGGTATCTCTACCTATTTGGATATCGCTCTTAATATCATATTTATAGTGTTCATACAGACGGCTCAGAATATCCCCTCCTCTTAAGAAGCTCCGCCATTTGATAAGTATAAGTTCTACTACTACTACTTCAAGTAGAAGTTCTACTACTACCACTTCGACCATTTGCGCCATCAGTAGAATTTGTAGAAAAACGTATCTTCCTCGAGTTTTTCTTATGTGTCGGGTCCGTAGGTAATAGACTCTGGGCACAAAAACTAATTTCGCTATCTTGTGGAATTAGCACTCTTCCTGGTCCTGTAGGTATTTGTTCGATTAGGGATAATATTATTTATTTCAAAAACGATTAGGCTCTAATTTGTTGTAGATGTATTGGTTGTCTGTCTAACTGGTGTAGGAGCTACAAATTCCGTCCGACATAGACTACTACTACTACTACCACAACTATTTGGTGGTAATTCAACGTGTACTTGTTCTGGTGTAGGAGCTAATTGAAGTGAAATATCAAGATTAGTCAGCAAGCTCTTTACTCGCATATTTAAACATCGATTCTCATTTTTGGATAGATCTACCAGATTTTTTCGCACACGTATACTAGTCTTAACGCTCTCTATCAACCCTTGCTCACCCCGTAAACTTAAGTTTGGGCTCATGGGTTTTTGATTGTATTTCATCTACTTCGTCAACTACAACATCTACATCGTTAACTACAACATCTACTTCACGCGTAGCGTTGAACTGCATTTCATCATCAACTACCTTTGTTAGATCACTGATCAGTTGTCGGGATTCATCGATAACTTCAACAATGTAAGCGATGATAGGTAATCATCAGTCGTTGTTTTGAATTTTATTCACTGTATATGTATACATTCGCTCGTCTAAACAATGTGTTCATTTATATTCAAAACAGGAATGAGGTGTAAATTTTGTACACTATTTACTACTACTGCTTCTGGAAATGACTTCTATTACTTTTGCAATATGGATTCTACTACTACTTCTGCAATATGAATTCTACTTCTACTACTGGAATATGACTTCTACTACTACTGCAAAATGACTTCTACTGCTACTTCTGCAAATATTTATATACTATTATTTTTCAAGTATCATTAGACACTTGTCACATCGTTACTTTTTTTAAAACAAGCCAGAAATGTAAAAATAGAATAAACATTGGTCAATGAAAATCAGTTAATGAAGTAGCTATCAAAGCTCATTTATAACATTGTACTAATGAAAAGACTAGTTAAAACAATACTTATTCTAAAAATATTGCGTATATTTTGTTATTCAATTAGATTGTGACAAAATTAAAAATATATATTTCTAAAATGATATTTCTAGAATTTATGTTTTCAATTCCTATAAGCTAGAAATATTATTGGTTGTTAATTTTCTATCTGATTAACATTAAAATGATATTTATTGGTCTATATTTTATCGAAAATCGCACAAACTATTTAAATTCTTCATTTGTACCAAGTTCTGGTACAAATGTTTTGCCGGACCTATTTGTTGAAAAATAGGTCGGTATTTCGCAGTGCGGGCTCTTTTAAAAGTAAAATAGAAATAAAAATAAAAATAACGATCGTGATTTTAAGGGTTTTAGGAACCCTAAAGACATACGTCGACCTCTCCTCTGAGGCCGACAAAGTACTAATACAACAAGTGCAATAAATGGGCTAAAATCACGCTCTTTACATCTTAAAAGCAAAGGAAACTCGAAAAAGTATACGAGACTGGTAGGAAACTGGGCCTGAAGTGGTTAATAATTTTATTGTCACCAGTGCCGTATAAAGACATATTTCTGTACTTTTTGTTTTTTTAAAATAGTACATATTTACATACATACTTTTTTTTATTGTAAAGTTTTAACTTCCGTCTTTTTGAGGTATTTAAAAAAAAATTGAAATCCCTTTTTTTTAATTTTTGCCTTTTTGTTCAAAAAATATATTTCATGTATGGGTGCTCCGTACTGAAAAAGATCAAATCGGGATTTTGGATATCAACTTTCAGTATAAATTTCAAATTGGAAAATATAATCTTTTGGATAACTCGATAGGTAGAACAGAAAACTCTGGGATATGCTAAAAGAATAATATTTTCGACCTGATTTTCTTTCCATTGTTGACAAAAAAAAATGGCCCAAAGAGGGTCCAATTTTGTCATCAAATCATCCTTTTTAGGCCATTTTAGGTATATTGATATGAAAATCAGGTTCAAAATATGAATTTTGAGTCTGCCACTCATTTTTTTGGTATACGTATATGGAGCCGTCCAACAGATCCTAGATTCCAATTTGAACTATAAATTTATACTGAATATTTATTTCCAAAAACCCAATTTGATACATTCTTTTTGAGTACGAAAGCACCCGGATCTCCATATGTAAAATGTTTTTTCAATTTCCTTTTTTTTCTCCGAACCCTTGGGCCCTCGGCTGTTTTTAAAAAACAAAACAAAACAAAACATTAATGGCTCAGCGTATTCTTTTTTTCTTCTAAAAGTCATCGTAAAAAATTAATCTACATCGAAAGCGATAGTTCAGAGTTTCATCGACAGAGAGTCAGAGATACACTGATACAGTCAACAGTAAATTTTTGTTTTTTTAAATGTTTAAAAAACAAACAAAATAAAAAAATACAAATTGCAGAGTGTAAATAGAATGCACCCACACTCCCATGTACAGAAAAATATCAGGGCAGTAAATAGTGGTGCACTGGTGCAGAGTCGCAGACCCGCACCCGTTCCAGTTTTTCAGACCGGCAACTATACCTAAAAACTAAAAAGAGTATATACTACTATGCTCCATAGGTCCATAGGACCATAGCCCATTCCCTTGAAATAAAATCGTCGGCAGGTTCTGCATCGCGCTTTGACTAAAAAAAACGCTCTATCTGAATCGCTATTATTTACTTACAATTGCGTTGCACTTTCGTATGAGAGAAATATTCTCTACTACCGTAGGAAACGTTAGCACCTTATTACCTCTAAGTTACTTTACATCTATTATATCAAGCACGGTGGTGAATCAGCAGGCATACCCAAGCAATAATGTCAAGTAAAAGCAAAGAAGCGGCGGGCGGCCTGCTTGTTGTGAATGCCGACACTAACGACATATCAGATAGGGACGACGGTAATCTGTCGGGCAGTAATATTAGCGCAACCAACTCTGAGAATAACTTGGCAACCACCGGCGATATAACAGATGAGAAAGCGAAACCACGAAGGCGTAGACGGTCGAACGCACAGTTACAGCGTGATATTTTATGCCCTTTTAGCAGGTGTGACAAGTGCTATGCGTCTAAGCATGCACTACAGCTGCACGTCCGCAACAAGCATATGTCATCGAAAAATGGACAAGAGCTAAGGCTGGACGAAATGGGTATGGTTTGAGCTGATTCCGCAAGAGACAAATTATTTGTTCAGGGAACTTCTGTGGGTGCGTCACATTCAGTGTTTCCAGTTGCCTAGTTTTCGAATTTCGTTCAGCTTCCTTTCAGTGGGCTTACAAACTGTCTAGTGAGTTTTGGTTGCTATTTAAAGATTTTGTTAACTTTTCAGTCGTCTTTTTTATCTGTAAGTGATTCATAACAATTATTCAGTGATTTTTGCATTAGCAAACACGTTACATACTTTTTTGTTCGAATTCGTGTGAACAGAAAGCCGTTGTTAGCACATACATGGCACAGCCCTTATCAGAGTGTTGCTATAAATCAGGGTTCTAGGCTGAGCGCTGAGTGTACAATGAAGTGTTATTAGGCACTACCATTATGCTTTGTGTTAGAATCAATTGGGTTATCAGGGTCGGATATTTGTGCGTGTAAACCCGAACATACGCCAATGCGGATACGTTGTGATAGTTGCGTGTCATGTATATATTTTGTAGTCCATCTTTCTTACCAATGACTCGAATCTTTTGAACCACAATTGAAACACCAGACTTGAAACCGAACTCATTACCGACCTTGCTGCATATACATATTTTCCAGATCCAGACTCAATGATGGGTGGTATGGGCTATGCTATGGACAATCGAGGCCTTATGTTCAGTTCCAGCCAGGAATTCGACTCCGGTTATCGTCAGCGCAAGTACATGGCTCAAGGAAACAGTCCTTATCCGCTCAGTTCAGCATCCATGCTGCCATACAAGGGCAATGGGTCTCTTAGTAGTATATCACAGCAATCTTTAGGCCGTGGCGGAATAAGGAGGGGGGGCTCTTTGAGTTCGAATATGTCCTCAGTGTCTGTGGATTCGTTCAGTCGTAATGGCAATCAATATCAGGGAAACGCGTCATCTGCGTCGTTTTCGGACGATCAGATTATGTCACTCTTGTCAGGTATGAATCTAGGGATAGTGTTGGTGAGAAGAATACAGAATACACGTTTATCTTTTTTTTTGTACTATTTTATGGGCAAATTAATCCAGTCTCAATTAATATACTCGAGTCTATTCATGTACTTGGTTCAATTGCCAAGCGGGGATATGCATTGGAAAGTTTGATTGAGGGCCTCAGTGTTTAAATGTGCGTGTTTAACGGTAGTCGCCTTTTGTAGTGCCGGCAGCGCTGGAAATGTATTTGATGACAGTATCCCTGTGGTATTTGTTCCTAATTAAGCATCACACATAAACTGAATATGACATTTGTCAAGATTTTCTTTCACGCTTTTAATTAATACATTGAGACGAACTTCTATCACCTTTACACAGATATACTTTCGAAACCGGCGTCTGGATCTGGCAGAAACAGCAACACATTGGTAGCACCTTCGAGCAGTAATACACTCGGCAACCCCATGGGGGATGAAGATATGGGGGTGACAGAAGACTTCTTAGACGATATACTCCTGCATGCTAGCATACGGTTAGACGGACAAGCTACACCCAACTTGCCAAACAACAGCTCAAACGGCACGTTATTCAACACTGCCTCACAACCGCAACTGCAGCAGGGAAGCAGGCCAATTCAGGGGTCCTATGTGGCTAATAGTGGACAGCAAACACAGGCCCAAACACCCTCGAGACAGGTGAATTCGCATCCCAATATGCGTGTGTTTGTGAATACACCTCAGATACCTGGGCTGAACGTTGATGGGGGCGCTATAGCCACGAGGCCGTCTCTACAGTCGTTACCGAGTCAGAGTATGGATGGTATAAACTTTGGGTTTAATAGCGGGGCGGGTGGGGGCGGGTCAATAAATAACCCGCAGGCGAACAATGCACAGGTGCAGTACCGTTCTCCCATGACGAGTATGTCGGCTGATGATTTGCACCGGAACAATAGCTTGCCCAACTTGCAGGACATGTACTTAGGGGATGGTAGCAGGACACAGCACACGGCGTTAAGCAGCCAGCATTCTACGAGTAGTATTGGAAGTGTTCCGTATGGTAGTAAACAGCCCACACAGAGGCAAGCGCCCAGTCATAAGGGACAACCGAGACTGGCATTCGTCCCGGAAAGTACCGCTTTGCAACACCACCACGCACCACATCAAGCGTATGTCAATGGATTGAATAGGACCCCTAGTGGTCAGCGCGCACACGCCATACAAATGCAGCAGCAAAAGAGACAACAGCAGGTTAACCAGGCTCAGGCTCAACTCAATCAGCATCACCAACATCACCAACAACAACAATTGAATACACTACAACAATTGAATACACTACAACAACTGAATACACAACAACAACTGACGACGCAACAACACTCACAAATACAGCAGCATCACCAACAGCAACAGTCGTGGACCTCAACTGACCCCGTGTGTGTGCCGGGGAGGCCGAATATTCCTGTATTTAACAAGATGAGTGCCATTTCCAATCCTATGGCGTAAAAAATACATGTTATGGCGTAGTACATATATGAGATACAAATGCGGCTTTTCAGTAGACGTTCTTCCCTAATGGAAAGAACGTGCCTTAATACTGTCGCTTGGATCTTGGTAGGGTACTGCAAACAACATCAACGCAACCTGGTGCATTGTAGTAGCATCATACGGTCCCTGCCTCAGTTGTACGTTCGATATCTGTCGGAATCGCGTCTTCCAATAGTTATGTGTCACGTCACAACTTAATGGTAGCCATGGTGGACGTGCCGGTAGCTGTTCGTGTACGTGCATTGATACATACGTGCCGCTGGGGGGCACCTGTACCAGGAGCCGATGCATCCACTAGGTACACGTGATGTTCAAAGAATATGTAGATCCGATATGAATTTTTCTGTAGTCGATACGCTAATTAATCATAATAGCTACAGTCTCTAGTTTGTTTACTGGAAGCTGACACTATCACTATCAAGTATTTACTGAATATGCCGTATGGCTTCGGAGCATCTACTCACCATGGCGGCAGTTGCCTGATATACTGTCATTTAACTAGATGTAGGTATGTAGAACCCACACTTTCGGGTATATGATCATTATATCCACTACCAAGTGGATATGCCAAACCTTCCCACCCCCCTCTCCTTTTCACTTACAATTGTACATATAACAACAGTCCAATGGAATCAAATTGTCTCACCAAATGCGAGTTGAGGTGACTCGGAAAATATATCTATCATACGTGAAAATAAATATGAATGAATATGAGTGTGGAGTGACTAAGCGAAGCTTATTTAATACTCGGCAGTGTTTGCCTATTCTTTGTATAAAAAAGTCGTATAGTGAGAAAAGGTCGTCACAAACAAATGACACACCAACGAGCTTGTTGCTATGACATATTATTGCACTTTTGCTAATTGTACACCACAGCGTGCAAGGGCACAATTTGTACACAATTATATTTGGAAAGATACAAGGGCGCAATTGGTGCACGGTCGAATATATATCAAGTGAAATATATACTGTACAAAAACCGAAAATAACCAGTAGTCGTGCAATGAAATATACTAAACATGAACTTGAAGCATTTTTACATTTTGCAGTCGAATATAATAGCCAGAAGTTGTATACATACTATATAAAGACTTGCGAAATCAAAGACATACAAACGAAACGTTGGAAGTAGTATATTTGTATGTGGTGCACAAAATGTGTTTATTAACATGCCTGAAGGCATTACTACAGAAACACCGTGTTGTGATATACATTGGGCGTGCACACTGCAAACACCACGAAAACGTTTAAAATATATCATGTCTTAGACTACGGGGACCGAAAGCGTTAAGACTGAAAATACGTAGCTACAGCCTATATATACCGAACTGTTATGACAATCAGAATATTAGGGTGTGCCAGTGTGGCGGGACTTTTTATGAACAAAAGAGACCGTTTGGTTTTTCTATAAAAAAAGCATAGCTTTCTAAAAATATATTCTTTGACGAAAAAACCAATAATATTCATTCTGTCTTTATTTTTGGATAACATAAACTATTGTACAATGTAGCCTTGTCTATTTGAAGGCTACACTCAGAAAGCCGAAAGGTCAAGGTGGGAGAAGGTAAGAAGTCAGGAAGGACTCGAAGGAGGGGGGCCTGGGCCCTGGAGTGTATGGCTACAGTATTTATGTAAGAAGCAGAATATTGTTGTTTTGTTGTGTATTTTGTAGGAGTTTCGGGACTTCTAATGAATTTTCGAGACTCTTCGGTACCCTGAATTTTGGCGGGTCCCGAATGATGAGTCATGATTCCGTTCCGGACATTCATATTGGGTTTTTATTTCAGGCGCCAAGCCAGAGTTAATCGTATATAACCAGGCCCTGATGATTTTTGAGTGTCATTCTACATGGGTCATACTTAAAATTGTCTATGTGTATTCACGAACAGAGCAAAGTGTCTACGAATATACATAGACAATGATGCCATGAGAAAGTTCGAGAACATCGTAGCAGAGGGTATTCTAGGCCCGTGCCTTTCCCGCTCACTACGAGTTTTATAGTTATAGTTAATAGCCTAGGATGTTAGTAGTGCAAATTCGTTCGGGAATAGATAGAGATAGGTCCCGGCGGACTATAAAAGCAGTCCACGTCTAGCGTTAGAGTTCAGACTTTCACTAAGAACATAAGGAACACAAGGACGAAGAGGACTAAAGACTACTTATATCGTAAACCTAAGAATAAAGCTACTACTACCTAATTTGGGAATTTGGAATATTTAACTGTGAAAATCATTTTTGAGCCGATTTTTGGATTTGGAGAATAAAGACCGAACTTTGGGAAATTTGAGGGACATTATAATTTATTAATAAAAAAACTAAAACATTATTGATATATATATATATATATATTTTTAAAACAACTCAAATTAAACTCTAAAAGTGCCGGACAAGGAACACAAAACCCAGTGTCCCAGTCCCACTGCCCCACAAGCCGGTCAGAAAAATCGAAATTGAGTGTGAAACATCACTTCTCAGGGGGTGTCATTTAAAAAAAGAGATCAGAAATTTCTAATTTTGAACGTTCAGAATCAGAATTTTATATGTCAACCAATGATACTTTTCTGAACGAGGACAAAATTTCGAGAACAAAAGTTGTTCTCGAAATTTGGGATCGGAATCAGAAGCAGGCCTCATAACGTACAAGGTATGTAGCTGAAAACGTACTACATTTTACGTAAACGCACACAATTATAAAAATTTTACGCATACCGTATTCATTTTGGTATTTCCAAAACGACAACTTCAAAAAAAAGAAAATTCAGGAACTATTCTAAATAGATCAACAAGTGACAGATATACATTGGTCCGGCTCCAAAACTGCAAAAGTTCAATTTATATATCAGGTAATCGCCCATATTTTGGCATATATAGCTGAGCGGCATACGCCAATATATTGGCAGTCTTCATTGCCAAGGTCATGTGTGGTACGAAAACGTATTCCGTATACCGCTAACGCAATGTTTTGAAAACGTGTTTACGCTTAACGTAATGAGCCCTGATCAGAAGTATTTACGTATTTATTCAGAATCTTTTTTAACGGTAACTGCTATTTCCAAGCCATAAACGTACTTTCAAACTTGTAGAACATTTTTCAAATAATCGTCTCCGAGATTAGTGAATAGAACTGATGAGTCACTTCTCTCAGAAGTCCGAACTCTCTGAAATGTACGGGAACGAATTGCACCCGAAATTGCCCGCAGACCCAAATATTCAAAAAGTACACAGTACGAGTCATCATGCACCCAAATTGGACTTTCTGTCCTTTCTGATTCTGATTCTGTTAAGAAATTTCTGATCCCGTTTTAAAATATAGAGTTTGTCTGTATTTTAGAAGGCTATGAATTTGGAGGGCTATTATTTTTTGTTCTTTTTTTCAGAAGACTATGATATTGTAATTTTGCTTTCCAAAAAACGGAGGTCAAAGGCTACAGTCGACCTTCAGGCTACAGACTACACACTACAGGCGACAGTTATAAATAGTCTCGGTTCAATTTAGGAAGGCTATTCTACTATAGTATGAAAAAAAAAATCACTGTTTTTCAGGGTATTAATTCATAGCCTTCTAAAATAAAACACCCCAAATGAATTTTTTTTGTCTCATACTTTTTACTTTCGTGTGTACTGTGTAGTCATATTTTTATATGGTGTATACAATTTATATACGCAGTGACTTTAAACGTGTGGCATTATAACTTAATAAGAGCTGTTTTTGGTATTGTTGTACATAGACACACGGAGTGACTTACGTGGGATGTAGCAACAGCCGCATTTTTGATATATTATATAGATAGACACGTAGACTTACCTGCGACACTCTGGGACGATCGAATACACGGTAATGCATGTACACTATACGCAGTACGTAGTGCCTTGCATACTACTGCTACCGTCGATATTCATGGCAGAGACTCAGTAGTGCGATTGTGTATGCCTTGAAGCAAAAGGAACAACTAAGCGAACCAGGGCAATTCGAGTCAGAACCACACGCAGCCCCCAATCATGTGCTATAAATAGTCTCGATTACTTACTACCTTATTCTTCGGAATCACAGCAACAAGACCTATAATAGGATGATTTTAAGGATTCCGTGACAAGAGTCTAATTAACATCTTCTACCGACTAGAACACTCATATATATATAACTAATCAATATGAGTACTGAGTGCATTGTCTTAGACTCCGACGACGATGCAGATATTCTGGTGCCTATACCCATAGGGCTGAGAGCGGCTAAGAAGCCAAGCTTACATCATCCCTCGCTCTCCACATTGGATAGTGACGACTTTAACGGCTCGACAGGTACGTATAAAAATTTGGCGTATATATATATATATATATATATATATATATATGTATATATATATATGCGTATGTATATATATATATGTGTGTGTGTACGTGTGTGTGTGTGTGTATGTATGTATATATATAAATAAGTAAGCCCTCGGTCTGGTGCCGTGATTTGGTTGTAATCAATACAGGCTTGGACCATGGCCATGTGTCTTTACGAGGCAAACGCCCAGCAGCAGCAGCCGACAGAGACACGAAGAAGAAACAGCTAACAGGACGCTTAATGTCACCAGGCGGATCACCCGTACATTGTTTGGGCTCTGTGCGAAGGAGTTGGCCTACCAAGTATGTGATGTGTTTAGAATTTTGATTTTATTTATGACTTTGTATCTATCGATGTACTTGACTTTTGAATGTGGAACCGTATAAAGCATGTTGTGTAATTACCATGGGGTCTATTGTGTGCAGTGCAGGGTTGGTTTTTCCAATAATATGGTACTGTACATGATCACCTCGGTTAGATTGGATATAGTTCAATATTCGAGAAAGCTATCGTGAAAACTGCGGCATGAGGTTTGTAGAAATCTATGACTGGTCTTCGCTCTGGCTGTGATTGTGGGAGGATCGATTTTTTTCTTCAAGAACCAGAAATTTGGGCCTGTTTTATGGAGTATTGCAGCTTCAGTATGGACTATATGTAGCCTCTTATACGATGGAACACTCTCGTGGACACCTCGGAACATTACCCGCGCTTATGCTATTGCACCTGAAAGCATATATAACAAGCATACATAAATTCAGATCAAGAGCACACTAATATGAATAAAGAGTATGCAAAGGTGGATAAAGTGTATACTATTTTTGAAAAAGTGTCTGCAAGAATGAATGGGGTGTAACAGCCGTGTATGAATTGTATACAAATATGAATAAATATATACAACCATAAGTGTGTTTGGCCGTCGATAGATACTGTACAATCGATGATGGTATATATACATTGTGAAAAAATGTATACTACCTTGCAGCGTGTGCACAACCGTATATTAAGTTTATACAATTGTGGCTAGTGTAGATGAGTAACATAGATATCTCTGTAAAATTTTGTGGAAACAATCAGATTGCATACGGAGCAGTATAGCACATCATCTGCCTGCAGTCAAAGGGGTTGCAACGGTAGCAGCAACGAGAAATCCGTAAGCGGCCAAGAACAAAAATGTGTACTATGACACTATGGTTTCCCTATGACATCTTATGAGAAGTATATCACAGGCTCTATACAGTGCTTGGTTTCTATGATACTGCGTTTTAGAAGCAGAATGCTGAATACATAGCATGACATTCTTATGCACAGATCACCCACGGAACAGTACCGCACATCACCATCTACGAGACGGGCGGCTGCAACTGCACGTCGGGAAGACCTCAGGCGCCAACGAGAAGCACTTCATGCTCAGGACACTGACAGCCACCATAGTAATATCGATAGAGCAGGTTAGTTGTGGTTCTGCTTATACTTTACTTATCCTTTATTGAGGATATATGTATGCCTGTTGTATATCATGATTAAGATTATAGGCGCCAAAGGAGAGTCAGCTCAACCCGAAGGAAATCCGGAAAGCACTTGTGGGTATTTGAAATCGGGGGCATGTTTGTTTTCATTTTAGAAAAGTGTATATCACAGTTAAGGTCTTATGATTGGTATTTATTGTTAACTTTAAGTTACATCAGTAGTCAATAGGTTAGTACGTTGTGTATGTATGTATTTGTCATCCATCTCAAAATGTATATACGGAAAGGTCATCCATCTCAAAATGTAGATACGGAAAGGTCATCCATCTCTAAATGTGTATATACGGAAAGGTCATCCATCTCTAAATGTGTATATATTATAGCCATATATCCTCCTGTGGTGCGTGTATGAACGCTCACCAAATCTTTATTTGTGTATACATTAAAGCTGTCCATGTATATCTGGAGTGCATATACGGAAAGTCATCTGTCTTTTTATGGTATGTATTTGAAATATTTAGATTATGCCCAAATACACTCAAGCACGACCAATGATCACCTAACTGATCGTTATCAAGTTCACAACAGACCAGGAAAAAAGGTCACTGAGCGCGAAAGAACAGAAGGAATTGGCGAAACGGGCCAAACAGATGGAGAAAGACAAGAAAGCAAGAGATAAACTGGCTTTATCGTTCACGAAACAGGTTAGTTTTCCTGCTGTAATTTATTATTATCATCATACTTCTCGACGCTATGGGGTGCAGGATTGATTATGTAGAAGCTGGTAATTGTACTTTCTCTTATTTATTTAGTCATTCATAAATCAGTTCTTTCTTGAATGCAGTGATAGTCGGTGTTTACTTTAATGCAATGATATTCAGTTCAATTATGATTTATATGCTTGTCACAATTTAAACATTCAATGCACAGCGGAGCCCTCAGTATAGCTACAAAACACAGAAATATATATTCTTGATTTGCGTATCACAGATATGATTGTATCTATAATATATATATATATATATGTGTGTGTGTGTGTGTGTGCGTGTGTGTGTGTGTGTCTATATTAATATATATATATATACTTATATATATATATATATATATATATATATATTATAAATTACTGAAGCTATGATATATCCATCCATACGGCTCATGGTGTATTCGCGTTCACAGGTGGTGAACGGCGCTTTACACTTCATCGCCAACGCGCAATTGTACTCAAATATAGACGAAAATCTTAAGATTATCTGAGTCGTTGTCTAAACGTCACCTGAGAACATGTGAAAGTCATACTCCACGTATATATCATGCTTTGATGTAGCTATTCTGTCGCTAATAGTGTATTTGCATTCACTGGTGATAGTCAAGAACACACAATGTTTCCCTAATACTGAACCTTCAAGCAGTTGCTGGCAACTTCCTTTGAACACACAGATCAATTTTTCTGTTAATATATATACGTCAAGTGAGAAAAGTTACAGTTACTTTCCTTGGGATATTCACATACACTTCTGATGCGATGGTGTAGTCATTCATATAACTCAGAGTATTGTCAAATTCGCAGGTGATGAACGAGGCCACCCGAGAAATCCCTGATTCTGAATGCTACGAGCAGTTACGAGTCACACTGGACCATAATCTCATGGCGCAAGAGGTAAGAAAGGGCGAGGGCTGTCGTGAATATGTATTTTTTTGTCGGGCTTTGAGTTTGTTCTGTCAGTGATATAAGTGTGTATGGGTGTGTGACTGCAACAATGTTATGTCTGGGCGTCGGTTTATTCTTATGTGGTTTATGGCTTATTGTTAGTTCAGATGTATATTTGATGGAGTTTAGGAGCAGAAGTTGGTCATATCTATATCTATCTATCTATATATA